AACCTGGCCTTGAACACTGCCAGGGATGGAGCATTCACAGCTTCCCTCGGCAACCCATTCCAGTGCCTCAGCACCCTCACAGGAAAGAACTTCTTCCTTATATCCAATCTAAACTTCCCCTGTTTCAGTTTGAACCCATCACCCCTTGTCCTACCACTACAGTCCCTGATGAAGGGTCCCTCTCCAGCATCCTTGTAGGCCCCAGTAACAAAGACAAGGAAGAGTATAAGTTGGATGGACTTGCTTACATCTTGTTGGGGACAGGTTTTGGACCTGGTTCCTCCAATGCAGGCTAGATTAACATGTATTGGAATAGCTTAGACTTCATCTCACTTTGGAAGATGGGGGTAAAGATCCTTGCTCCTCTTTCTTACACCTCTACCTTTGGATGTCTGCTGCCATCTACAGCTGCAGACAGGCTATTGGAGCAGAGGGTCCTTGGTCTGACCAGGGATGGTTGTTTTGATGACCACATTTTTGTTAACTATATTGTCAGTAGGGTACCATTAAGTGAAGGCACCTTCTTTGATGCTGTTGCTTGATTCTGGTGTGACTTGCCAGGCCCAAGAGTAAGTGTTGTGTTCATGTACCTGTTGGCAATGAACAGAGACCAGAGACACTGCATACATATACTCTGCTAAAGCGGGAAAAGCAAGATTCTCATCCCCACAACGTCTCCATTCTCCCCTATCAAGGGCTACCATATTCATCCAAGCAAGGACAAGGAAAAGAGAGCCTGGAGGGAAAGAAACCTTAGAGCAGCGGAGGGGCTGAAGGAGTGCAGGTTTGGTGCCATTGCCATCTGCACTGCCAGTGGGACAGGCATGAGCAAGGGATAACAAAGCCCACAGTCTTCCCTGCCTGTAGGCACCACGAGCTTTGCTTTGGATGGAAAATCCACCCAAAAGATGGGACAGAAAAAAGCACAGCCGTGCACAGATGCTCCATATGGAAGGATCAATATTTTACCTAGAACCAGGACATAGAAGCACACAGCCAGGAACTGTCCCACCACAGTTTAGCTCCTGTTGAGGGTGAAGGCAACGTGGCTTCACTTCATGGCTAGGGTGGGCTGTGAGGCTGTGTGCTGATAAGTATAGAGTCATAGCATAGTTAGGGTTGGAAGGGACCTTAAAATCATCCAGTTCCAACCCCCCTGCCATGGGCAGGGACACCTCGCTCTAAACCATATTACCCAAGGCCTCGTCCAACCTGGCCTTGAACACTGCCAGGGATGGAGCATTCACAACCTCCCTGGGCAACCTATTCCAGTGCCTCAGCACCCTCACAGGAAAGAATTTCCTCCTTATATCCAATCTAAACTTCCCCTGTTTAAGTTTTAACCCATTACCCCTTGTCCTACCACTACAGTCCCTAATGAAGAGTCCATCCCCAGCATCCCTATGTGTCCCAATAGCTGACAAGTACTGACCAACTCGGCTGCATTAATGTGACCGACTGTCCACACCTCTGCTTTTTACCTGCTCCCAGAGCATCATCACCTGAGCAAGGAACAATCCCAACGTTCCTAAAAGGAAAATTGTGTTCCAATACACCAAATAATCACTGTCCTGTGGAGACAGCTGTGGGTATTGGGGTGAGACAGGAGAGGACACAGCTACACTGCATGGTAAAAGGCTCTTCAGAAAGCCCTGTGCCATGGTGAGACCCCTTTCATTGTGCCTTGGCCCTTGTCTAGCTGCCAGAGCCTTTGGCTTTTATCTTCTGGCTGCTGTCACAAAGCCTGCAGATGTATTTCCCTCTGGAGAGTCCACTGACTCCTTAACTACCAGCAACGATCCAGCCTGAAGCTTTTAATGCTCCTATGCTGCAATATTAATGACGCCCTCACTCACTGGCACTCCGGAGCTGTCTGGATCAATGGAAGAAGAGCAGACAGAGCCACGGAAAAGAGCTGCTTTTGGAGGGTTTGGTGTTTTCCAGGAGTGCTAACAACCATGTCCCAGACTCCCACTGGGAGAGTGCCAGGCATGGTCAGACAAGCTTCCATCAGTCCCCATCGATTCCCTCCTGACTGGAGCTCATCCTAATGAATTGTCCTAGAGGACCATTGTGCTAATCAATTTGCTATTAATGTGGGCTTAGAAATGATGATGGCATTGATTAGAGGCAGCAGGGCCAGCTTCCAGTTGGCTGGGTCTGAGGCTTGCCACTGCTGTCAGTGGTGGCAGGAGATAGCTGTCCCCATCACCATCCTCTCGAAGGCAGCAAAAGCGGTTGGACCACTAGACCAGGACCCAAGACTGGATGTACTTCCACACCAACCCAAGGGGAATGAGAGGAGCCTGATCTCTAGAGCCCAGTCTGTCCTCAGCATCCCAAAAGGCAACGTGTGAGCTCAAACACCAGGTTTCTCCCCCAGAGCACAGCATCCCACCCAGGCCAAGGATCCCTCCTGTTGCTTACCCTCTGGCCAAGGCATCTGTGACTCCCTTGGCTGTAGGGGAGAGGTGGCAGCGCTGGATGTGGTGCCTTTTGGGACACCACACTTGAAGGCATAGAGCAGAACCCCTGCCTGTGACCTAGCACTGCATGTTACCTGGAGGATTAACATGGGGCACATTCACAAACCCCAGCAGTAGCTGGACCCCTCATGGAGATCATCACGCAACTGAGGTCCACAGCTCCCACCCACTCTCAGGAAACCTCCTCAGGCATCTCCATCCCTCCCCACTGGATGCTGGAGAGCATGCCATGGACCACCCATCCCAGGATCCCACTGAGTCCCAGACTCAACTTGCCTGGGTGACACTGAGGCAGTGGATGTACTGGTCCCCATCATTCTCATTCACCCAACTGTGCTTTTTGCTTAGGGGTTCCCAAAATCTAAAGCTGTGACACCTTTCAGAGGGACAAATTTACAGTGAAAGGGGTCAGAAATAGGTAAGTTGGGAGCCCAGAACCACCTATGATCCTGGGGAAATGTGCCTGCTTAGAAGGAGGAATTGGTAGATGCTGATTTCTCCAAGCAGGGGCTCTTCTGCTGGGAACTTGCCAGCTCAGGAAGAGGACGAAAAGACCCTACTGTGCCCATCTGCTGAACCATGGATGAAATCCCACTGGGAGATGGGACACAGTGGTGTATCTGAAAGCCTTTATGGGATGCTGAAACTGCGTAGGGAGAGTTCCAGTGGCTAGTATAAGAGGCTCATCTTCCCTGCAGCAGAGGGGTGATCATACTGCCCCACTCACCTCCCAGCTCTCATGGAAAGGAGGACCCATCTGAGGATCATTTCCCTTCAAACCCCTCCCAAACCACACAATGCTCCATTAAGCCTCTCACACCAAGAAAAACAGAAGGTAAATGTTCATTTTACTGTTTACAGGAGATGAAAAGGTGCTCAGGAATACCAACAGTGAGTTTGAAATTGGTGGTTGGTGATCTATTGTGTGCAGGATTAGGATAAGAAGACATGCACAGCCTCAGTCCTTAAGGGGAACACTGTCGATTAGGCTTTTATTTACTATGGTACATCAATACCCAGCGAGGGATCTGCAGCAAGAACTCTACCCCAGCCACCAGCAGCTTAGCAATGGCATAGCGAAAGACCTGTAATGCAAAAGCCCCTTGGGATGTTGGAAGTGACTCCTGCTATTGGGTCTAATGTGGTTTGTAGGCTGAGATATACAAGCAAGGTCTCCTATGGGAAAGTCTGCCAGGATCCGAGAAGTGGGTTTGGCCTATAGTGGGTCCAAGCTATGGCCAAGCAGAATCCCAAACTGGTTTGGGTTGGAAGGGACCTTAAAGCTCATCCAGCTCCAACCCCTGCCACGGGCAGGGACCCCTTCCACTGGAGCAGCTTGCTCCAAGCCCCTGTGTCCAACCTGGCCTTGAACATTGCCAGGGATGGGATACATCCATTTTTCTCTCTCCTCACTGAGTTCAGCATTGCTTGGGGTCTAAATGAAGACATTGATTTCTCCAGCAATGTCCATGGCTGTGTGATTCGGTGGTTGCTGAGCTTTGGTTGTGGGTAAGGCCCAAAGCTCCCACCATCTCAGCTAATAACTGATCTTCCTCCTTTCCTTCTCCTCTCTGCCTGGATTAGCTCATGCTCATCATTTTACACCTTATTGCTGTGATGGAGCCTGCATCTCTGGAGGCTTTGAAGAGGTTGGACTCTGTTGGGGATGGTCCACTTAAGTCAGGCCATGGGTACAAAGTCCCATCACTGCCCTCTCTCTACACACCTGAGGACCATCTCAGGCCATACCTTGAGGAGCATTTACCCACACTGGAGTGCAGTCCTAGCAAAGAACCAATTATAGGAACACTTGACTCTTTCAAAGGACATTTCTATCTGTGCATCTCAAGAAGCTTCACCAAAACACCTTCTGCTTATTGCTGGAGGAAAAGGGAATGTCCAAAGCAGTTTATTCACAGTCATGGAACAAGCCAGACACCCTCCTGCTCCTAAACTTGCATCTCCCTTCTCCGCCCCCATGGCCACCCAGACACCATTCCCTGCCTCAGCAGCTGTAGTGGGTAGGAGACAGCAGCAGCAGGCTGCTGCTGTGTGGTTTGCAATGTGCCCTGCAGCCTCCTGGCTCTTTAGATGCTTCAGAATAAACCTGTTCATGGGTGCTTTAAGGCCACAGCAATGCACAGATTGCTTTTGCTGCAGGGCAGTCATTGCGGGCTCAGACCTACAGCCTGCTCTGAGCTGCTGCACACACAGGAATCCCTGCTCCAACCCATCTGAGGACCAACGGTGCCCAGGCAGCCCAAGGTGAGCAGGGTGCTGCAGTACATCTCCCCACAGTGACCCCCAGCCAGAGATGGTGCTGGCTGTCAGAGGAAGGGTGCTCCAGCCCCCCTGCACCGGTTTGCCATCTGTAGAACACAGCGTGTCCAAATGTACTGCAGCTTCACGGCGAGCTGGTCCTCCACGGGACTGGTCTTCAGAGACACCAAGCAGCCTCAGTCGCAGCATTCAGCATCCTAAGCACTGCATCTCAAACAAGCCTTTCCTTTGTAATAGGTAGGATGGAAACTGGAAGCCAGGGCTCTCTCCAGGCTCTCTCCTGTTCCTGGGATGGCAATTTCATGTTTTTCCATCAGGCTTTTGCTGTGCAGTCACCACAGTTGGAGGGTTTAGAGCAGCCTCGTATTTCCAAGCCAGCAAGACCCTGCACCAGTCAGACCTGAAGAATCCATGCTGAATTTACACACACACGGCAAATACAGCAGCAAACTCATGGCCCCTTCCTCCCCATCATCTAAAGGACAGCACGTATGGGAATGTTTCACAGGGCTGAGGGGCTCCAGAAGTGCTGTCCTTCGCTTTTCAGTGATGCCATCCCTCATAGAGAACCACATAAAAATGAACTAAAACCCAAACTAAAAGGAATACAAAGACAAAAGCACAGCTGGAGGAGGAAGGGCAGAGCAGGAGGGGATCAGGCTTTAAAAACAATGGAGCCCTTCAGCTGAGCTGGTTCGAGGCCGTCGGTGAAAGCGAGGAGGAAATACATCACCTTACGGATGCGGGCTAACTCCGCTATCCGCTCCCCAAACTCCTGGGCATCTGCTTCATTGCATTGCACATCCTCAGCCCCTGGCTTCTTCCAGAAGATACCCACCGGCTCCAGCAGCTGCCTGTTCATAAGGTGGGTGAGATCAGGAGTCCAGTGCTGGGAAGTGCCGGTCACAGTGACCTTCCCAGGTCTTTCCAGATGGATATCCCAGCGGAGGAAGTGCAGGTTGTGCTGCCGGGTGAAATCCACTCTGTAGATGTGCTCGTTGGGATGCAGCAGCTTCTCACCATCCTGGGGCCTCCCATTCTTCTGCTGCAGGCTCTGGAATCGCAGCCGCATGCACCGGGTGAGCTGGTCATCACGGATGAAGGGCAGCTCGAGCATCCCTGCCTGCACTGCCATCACCTCGGCTGCTCCGCTGCTATGTTTGGCTCTCCAATAGGACACACAGAGGGAAAAAGCTGCCAAGCCACCTCTTCATGGTCCACTGGTGCTAAGCAACCCGGGCCAGTGACGCAGAACACCCTCCAGGGCTTCCTCTGGGTGTCTCTTTGCAGATTAGGAACTGATGGTGCTACCGTGCATGATAATCTATAGGGAAGGGATGTCTGATGTCAGCCTCCCTGGCAACCTGCCTGACAACCACAGCTCGTTATCCCAAAAATGAAGGCATGCAGCCAGGGATGATGATCTTTAAGGTCTTTTCCAACCTGGTTGATTCTATGTGACCCAACAGGTCTGGGCAGCAGGGCTTTCTCTGAAAGAAGGATAATTGAGGTTGGAAGGAGACTATGGAAGGGTCTGGTCCAATCTGCAGCTCAAAGCAGGACTTACTTCAAGGCTAAATAGGGTTGCTTCGGGCTTTGTGCACTCTACCTTTGAGTATCTCCATGGACGGAGATCCCACAGACTCTCTGGGCCCTTGTTTCACTGTCTGACCATGCTCAGTGCTGAAGATAAGCTACTGCTTGTGCTGTTATCTTCTGTCCCATGAATGTGCAGCCCCAGCAACAGTCTGGCTCCATCCTATCCCATACCCTTCCGTTAGGTATTTGCAGACTGGTTGGATGGGGCATTGAGCAAGCTGCTCTAGTGGAAGGTGTCCCTGCCCGTGGCAGGGGGATGGAACTGGATGAGCTTTAAGATCCCTTCCAACCCAAACCATTCTGTGATTATTTCTGGTGCCTCAGACCTTCAGCAAGGACCAGGCTCTAATCCCAGCAGATCTGGTGTCTCCCTGGACCAAAGGGTTAACTTGTGCACTTGACATCTTCCATTTTGCTTTAAAAGTCGCTGCTGCAGTTCACAGCCACGTTTTCTCCTTCCAATTCATCCTAAGCCCTCAAAGCACCATGCAAAGTGTTAGCAAAGGGCCTAATTCATAGGTCTCCAACACCACAGCAAACTGAACATCACTGGGAGGGAAGGCCTGGGGAGAACTGCAGCTTTGGGCAGGAAACAAGGCTTTCAGTAAGCAAGAGGAGGCAGGCAAAGAAGAGCCTCTGAGGGTTAAGGGATGGAAACTGAGAAGGCACAAACACCCACAGCCAAAATACCAAGGGAGGAAAAGCAATGCTGGGGGCAAACTGAAATAACAAGGCGTCCCAAGGGACCCAGCTTCTGTTTGCTTGGTGTTTCCCAAGGCAGGGCTGGAAGTGAATGGTGAGGAGGGAAGAAAATGTGCCTGCTCCCCCTTGGGAGATGCCGATGTGGAGGAAGAAGCTAAACAACCCCTTGTACCACAACAGTCACCACTGCCACGATGGGAGGACACGTTACTGCTTATCCAGAACCCAACAACAGCTATCCTGTTCCCATATGAAGAAAAACCTCGAGTTAAATAAAGAATGGGGATGCTCCAACAAACACAAACTCATGAACTTCATGTTCAGCATCCTAAAACCACACACAACAGAGACTGCAGGTACCGCAGCACATAGAGCAGATGCAAAGGTGTAGGGTGGAGGGCTCCTTTTAGGTCCATTGCCACTGCACCAGGAGGCTGTGTGTGAAGCAGTGATGCTGTCTGCACACACTGATGGGCTTTGGTATGGAAAGGTGCTTGCAACTTGCTGGGCTCTTGTCCTATAAGGAGGCATGCCTGCACCATGGTCTGAGGCCCTCCTGGTTTTGCTTTCATAGGACTGAGTTCTATAGCAGTGGACACTGTATTCAGGCACAGACAGTCCAAGGTCATGGCACTGAGCACCTCCTTCCCTGTACATTCCCTGCTCCCTGGGTCTGCAGCCCCTTGCTCTAGTGCAGCTCTTTGGTGGCTTTCTGGCCCCTAACACAATCCCTTTGGACACCACACTGAAGGATCACTGCTACAAGGTGCAACCCGACCATGGGGCACGCCAGGGATGGATGCTTTAGGGAAGCAGTGCCTTGGGAAAGATGCTAAGATCCTCAAATCACTCTGCCTGCTCCAGTGCAAGGTATTTCATTGCCAAGGTGGGCACACACTGAGAAGCCAAAGAAAGGTAACCCCATGGGAATTAAGGAAACAGGGCCAAATGCTGCAGTGGAGCATCCCGAGTTGTGCTCTTCTTGTCTTTTAGGTGATTTTGGAGTGGCAAGGATCAGATTTGGGATCTGGAGGAGAAGATGGGACTTGATCTACCTGGTTAAAGAGAAAGCGTCCAAGGGTTTGTCTTGAGTGTGAGGTGACTGCAGTGATGATGACTAGTTCCCCTTGATGGATAGACCTTTATGGGAGGTTTGTGCACATGAACCATTCTGGGGACCTCATGCATCCCTGAAGAACCAGCTAAACACAATGCAAATCCAAGGTGTTAAAGACAGGCATTCCCCTGCCATGGGGAATCTCTTACCTTCTGCCACAGAGACTCCCGGGATGCCAGGGAGGAGCAGGCAGCCACGAACCAGCAGTTCCCAACCTGGCCTTGGTGTAAGTCATGGGAGCTGATCCCATCCACAAAGAGGTGTGGATCATTGCAGATTTCCTGTGGGACAGAACAGAAACAGGCACAGAGTAAGGGAGGAGGCAGGGAAACCAGGATCCAGGCTTCTTGGCAAAGGAAGATCTATTCCTCTCTTCCTCAGGCTCCATTTAAACCTGCAGCTTTCTGCTGGCCTCTCTCATCACGCTTGGTGGCAGGAGGACCTTGTCCTGCCTTCTGCTCTCACCAGGACATGGGCAGCATCACTGCTGGAGTGACACCAGACCTATTCCCTGCTCTGTTCCAGCATCAGCACAGCTTTGCTATAACTATCCCTGGTGAAATGGTACATCTCCAAACCATTCCAGCCCCTCTTCTAAATCCACTCTGTTATTTATTATAAGCCCCTCAGCTCTTCTATCCCATGACTGTTTTACACGCTTTTCCCTCTCTTATTTTACTCTGGAGAGCTTCACTCAAACCCACCATCTCCCCTATTGGAACTTGTGGATCCATCTGAAACTAAAACCATGCAGAAGGGCAGAGCCAGGCATTCAGATGAGGAATCACAGTGCCTAAATCAGTGCACCCAGGAAAGCTCAACACACATTGAGGGCTCAGGCTTGGTTGCAAGAAGACAAGTATCCTCACCCACGACCTTCCATGTCTTAGCACAGCAGATGGGGAGAATCTGGTGAGCTAAAAGCTTTGTAGCTGGGCCAGGATGGTTAAATGCTCATTGTGACCCCAAAAGCAGGATGGTGGATAACGCATGGGCACCATGAACGGGAAGTTTGGGGAGGAGGTAGCTAAGAGCTGGGTTCATCCCTCCAACCATTAAGGCACCAACCACATCCCTGTTACTCCACTCAGCTCCTGCTAGGCTGCCCTCTCTTCCCACTCCCACTTAGAGCTTGGCCAAGAAAGCATTAAGATAACAGAGGGTATTGAGCAAGCTTCATGTGAAACACTGCTTCTTTCAACCTTTTCTGCTCATCAGCCCAGGTTGGAAGGTCCTGTACAGCTGGAAGCTGGGAGCAGATGGGCCCAAGAGCTGCAGGAATTGTTTCCCCTTTGTTATCCCATTTAATTGGATGGGGGGGAAAGGGAAAGGAGGTTTCCCTTCTGCTGCCAGGTTTTCAGGCTGCTTGCACATAGAATAACATGTTCCCCCAGACTGCGCACATGGGGATTTGTATTGCCACTGCCCATCACGGGGAGGATCAGGAACTGCTGCTTCATAAGCACCTCCTGCTATTCCCACCTAACCCAGCCAGCAGCATAAATAACCAGAGCCCCATCCGGACACAGACAGGGAAGGGATGAAACCCAAGGGAGAGGAGTAACCCCCTCGCAGCTGCAGGAGGTTGGGATCAGCACTAGAGGGAGGTAAGCTGACAGCCACCAAAGGCGAGAGCTGCCTGCGCTTCCCAGCATCCGAGTGCACACAGGGATGGGAGAGCAGCAGTGGGGTTTAGCTCCTGCTTCACATCACCGAGGAAGCTCTCAGCAGCAGGGGATGCATCCCTCCTGTGTGTTGGTGATGGGGATGTCTGCAAGATCAGTGCTCAGTGATCCTGGCAGAGGCACTGGGTTTGCCCCATCTAAGGACCATGGCTGCCCCTTTTTACCTTTAGCTGAATCTGCAGTGTAGGAAAAGGATGTTGCTTGGTATTAGATCAACAGGGGAGAACATGAAAGCATGAAAAACACATCCTGCTTGTCAGAAATCAGCACAGGGTAAAGCATGTCAGACGTTCAGGGCCCTTCTCCCAGAGCAGAGCTGCAGTTAGCTGTGATTTCCCCATCACCAGGACAGACTTTGCAAACTAAAATCCTCTGATTGCTCATTTAATAGAGGAAGCCCTTTGTAATCATCAAAAGAGCAGCCTGCATTGACAGACATGGGGTAGAACCATTAGAACCTACTCTAGCACCCATGGCAGCAACGAAGGTGCTATGGCTGGAAACACTCATCGGGGCAGGCTCCCTCTGCAAATCACAGCTCTCAGTTCCCTCAGCTCCTCTTCTCAGTACCCCAAATGGGTCCCTAAGGGCATATTGCTCTTGAAGGATTCACTCAGGCAGCTCTTCAGATGCTGCAGTAGGTGCTTCCCATTCAGGTACACACTTGGATGTGGCATTTTAAAGTGCTTTTGGTCCAGTACAGCCCCTACAGAGCAAGGGACCAAGGCACTGCTTCAGTAAGGCTGCAGTGCCCACAGGACTGCACGCAGTACATTGAGCCTTGATTCAGCACCTTCAGAGAAGCTGTGGCTGCCCCATCCCTGGCAGTGCTCAAGGCCAGGTTGGACACAGGGGCTTGGAGCAAGCTGCTCCAGTGGAAGGGGTCCCTGCCCATGGCAAGGGTTGGAGCTGGATGAGCTTTAAGGTCCCTTCAACCCAAACCATTCTGGGATTCTAATAACAGCACTGAACTAAGTTTTCCTTTTCCTCTGGACAGAGATGTCTCACAAAGATAAAGAGCTTGCTCTGCAGCCAGACTGAATTAGTTTTGTATGTGCAAGGGAAGGGTGAAGCAGAGATGCTCTGATCACAGAAGGTCACCACCTTGGCTCCCTCCCCGCCCTCCTGTGCAGCAGACAGAAACCAGGTGAGCAATGAAGTTTACCCATGCAGGTGCTTCTCCAACAAGCAAACACCACGTCACCCTCCCAGCACCATGACCACGAGAGGAAAGGGCAGCGTGAGCACAAACACACACCCCAAAAGGGGGCCTTTGGGGTTCAGCTATCAGCCACCACAGAACCAGTTCAAACTGCCCCTGGCACCTGAGGCTTCAGCAAGCAGTGAGTCCATAGAATCCCAGAGTGGTTTGGGTTGAAGGGACCTTAAAGCTCATCCAGTTCCAACCCCCTGAACAGCAAAGAATAGTAGGGGAAAGCCAAAAGCCATCGCACCACCTTGGCTATGGGAGCCATCCATGCCTCTTTACCCTCAAGCAGAACCTCTCTTGGAGGACCCCAAGGATCCTGAGCACCATCAGAGATGATTTTCTCTCCCTGAAATGGCTGCTGAGCAACAGGCAGCAAAATAGAGCTTAGAGGAAGCCTGTGTGGATGGTCCTATCAAACAATACAGACTGATAACACAGGGAGAGACAACCCCATGATTCATGTATTCCTTCCCACATCCTTCCTCCTGCAAGGGATGTGGGACAGAGGTGGAAATCAGAGCCAGGGCTGGGAGAGCACTGTGAGATGCCTGTTGATGAGAGGCTGATACAGAGGTACCAGGTCTGGCT